AGAACGTTACTGTTAGACAATGAGTGAAATGGATAATGAAAAAAATATTGTACGTAAACCCATGTATATTGTCAGGTCAGGTAAAATCTTGTACGTTACACGTTGCGCAAGAGCGTGTTTACATCTCTTAGGTGAATTATGCAACTCGCTTCCGCTCGTTGCACAACATTCACCTGCGTGATGTAAAAACGCTCCTACTACACTTGTAATGTAAATAGCTATTACCCAACCCGCCATGTTAAACTTCCCTATCCTAAGCGTGATGTAAACAACAAGTTTCAAAAACTCACTATTGAAGTAATGAAACCCATAGCATTGAGTGCTCAACTTAAAAAATATACCTCTATGGATCCAACGACGGTCAACGGAATGGGCACACGGGAGGGACTAAGGCTAAAGGTGTAGTGACGTCATATCTCTAGTGGCTAATGTCTTCTCTTGAGGCAACACGATTACCGTAACGAAACGATGTGATTTCAGCGGCGTTCGTGGCATAGTTGGTAGCGTTTCGGATTGATGTTCAGGAGGTCCCGGGTTCGAATCCCGCTGGCAGTACCAACTTTTTGTCGACAAATTTTTCATATCAGCAAGTTTGGTTGGTGTAACAATTCAATATTTCCACTTATAGATAATTTAATTTTCACCATATGTTTTTCATTTATCTAAATGTCAATCCCTTTTCAAACAATATATAGTAATTAATTGTCCATGCAGACCAATAGGTAATCAATTTAATACAATATAATATAGATATTTTCAAATAACATAATTTCATGTAAATATACGGGGTAAGTTTTATTTGTCCCCCCCCAACTTTTTTCTATATTTTTTCAAATATCAATCCCAGACCACTTCCAAACATTGTTGGGTAGTAAGTACTTCATTTTGACAAGGTGGTCATTTCCGGCCGCCATCTTGGATCCGCCATATTGGATGCAAATTTTTTTTTCAAATGTAAAGGTGTGGTTGTGACCCATTACTTCGAACTAGATTTTTACCCTGATTACAATGCCGCAATCTGTTTAAAAAGATCTTGGTTCATTCTAAAGTTATGAGGGTTTTTTAAAACTTTATTTCTAGCCCATTTTAACATTGTGCATTTACAAACTAAGAACATAATCTCAAAATAGTGCTAGATAAAGATAAGTATACACTACCAGTAATTGTCAAAATATTTTCACTTGGTTATGTATGATGTATATTTTCCGGCCGCCATCTTGAATCCGCCATTTTGAAATGTGATAAATTATTTTAAATATAAAGGGGGTGTTGTGACCCATCATTTCTAACTAATTTTTTAAGCTGAACCTAATTCCATGATCCGTTTTTCATTTTCATTTTTTTATTTTTAAATATTGACATTTTTTACAAAAAAATTGCAATATTTCATAAATAAAACTTGATAAAAAAAATGGATTGCAGCATTGAGTTTAGCTTAAACAAGTAGTTCGAAATGATGGGTCACAACACCCCCTTCATATTTAAAATAATTTATCACATTTCAAAATGGCGGATCCAAGATGGCGGCCGAAAAAAATACATCAGTCATAACCAAGTGAAAATATTTCGACAATTACTGGTGGTGTATACTTATCTTTATCTAGCGCTATTTTGAGATTATGGTCTTAGTTTGTAAATGCGCAATGTTAAAATGGGCTAAAAAGAAAGTTTTAAAAAGCCCTCATAGCTTTAGAATGAATCAAGATTTTTAAAAACAGTTTGCGGCATTGTAATCAGAGTAAAAATCTAGTTCAAAATAATGGGTCACAACTCCACCTTTACATTTGAAAAAAAAATTTTGCATCCAATATGGCGGATCCAAGATGGCGGACGGAAATGACAACCTTGTCAAAATGAAGTACTTACTACCCAACAATGTTTGGAAGTGGTCTGGGATTGATTTGAAAAAATGTAGAAAAAAGTTGGGGGGGGGGACAATTAAAACTCACCCTGAATAATAGCCTATAACTTTTGTAACAAAATTGCTTCAAATTCAATATAATTTTATTTAAATAACTTTTCAAAATTATAATTTAGCTCTATAGCAAATGAAATTTGTTATAATATATATTTGTGAACAGTGGCTTACAATTTTATATGATTAAGTCAGCATTGACATATGTGAGTGCAACAATGCATCAGACCTTCCCTTCATCACTTCCAATGGAGCTGAGCTAGTATGAAGATGTAAATTGGATACTACCTATTTTAAAATCAAAATTTATAAAAAAGTGTCTATATTTGAACCTAAATTAGTGAAATTCGATTGAAAAAGAACTGTCCTTATTACAAACATTAATAATTAAGTTACAACATCAAGAAATTTTGCTGCGAAGAAAGACATCAATTTGGTGAGATCACTCCAATAGACATTTCCCCTTTGGAAGCCATTAAAACATTTTTAGGCCTAACCTTTGGACATTTGTACTCAAATTCAAAGTCAAGAAACTAATACCGTAGAAGCTTAATATTCAGAACTTTAATTAATTCAACCGATCTATCATTTGAACCTATTTTATATTTCAAACAAAATTTTAATTAGGCAATATAAAATCACAAGATTAAATTCAAATGCCTCTCGATCACACCCACCTGAGATAAAGATTCATGAAATAAATTATAACACCTGAACCTTTAGAACTATTGTAATAGGCTTAGCCTAAAGCTTTCCTTATTAAATTCATTCCCCACTGATTGTAAACTTTATTGTGAACCCTTTATTTTCTTTTACCATCAATTTTGTATTTTAATTAAATAAATTTAAGTTTCGATATTGTACATGGAGTTTCCATTGTATTCTTAATTTTAAGGTTGATTACATTGGTTAGGTTAGGTTATAACAGTTTAATATTATAATACTAAATTTTAAAATTAATTTATCATTATCATTAATTAGATTTTTATCTTATATAGTTTTTATATTATCAGCAAGTCTGGTTGGTTAGGTTATGTTATGACAGTTTAGTAATTAAAAATTAATTTTATAATTTTTAAACATTATTTCATAATTAAAAAGCTAATTTTATAACTAAAGATTAAAAAAAAATTACATTTTTTCAACTCAGCAGTTCTAGCGGCGAACGCTGACACTACAAGATATGTTAGCCTTAGTCCCTCCCGTGTGCCCCACCGGACGTTCAACGCTAGAAATCAGCTGTGCCCTTGAATTTTTTTGTTATGCTTTAATTTTCCTAACCTAGCTTTTGTTTGTAAAAGAACGTTACTGTTAACTGTTAGAAGATGAGTAAAATGAAATGGATAATGAAAAAAGTGAATGTAACCCCCTGTATGTTGTCGGATCAGGTAAAATTTTGTACGTTACACGTTACGCAAGGGCGTGTTTACATCACATGCGTGATGTAAAAACGCTCTTACTACTACACTTGTAAGGTAAATAGCTAAATAGACATTCCATCACCATGTTCAAGTTGTTGCCAGGTTTTTGATCAAATTTGTCTTAGTTGATGTAAGCTACCTACAGATTGCACTGATATAAATTACTGATTTCTGCCGACTCGACTACACTATGTTTTTTACCAATTCAAACTGATGGAATGACTTATTATGAACTATAGCACTGTTATGGCCCAGAAACTATGTCAGTAACAAAAAATAAGGTTCAAAATAGAGTTTTAGACACTAGAGCAATCTGTGACTGGCTCACACAACTACATTAGTTTTTAGTAAAAAATGGGCGACAGCTGACTCAGTTTTGCTCTACACGTGTTCAATTGGCTTGTCTTATCTCGACTTGAATTCGGCTTCTAAGTTTGCCTAGACAGTTAGAATTGTCAAAACAGCTGATTTGAATAACTGAACTTTAGATCTCACACACCCTATCAAATTTAGTTTGAACCTGAACCACCATTATTCTTGCTGTCTACGTCTGTGACAGTTCTACTGGAGGAATTAGAGGAGGAAGTACTTAAACACTTTTAGGGAAAACATGTTTTACATGCTCGGTCAATTTAGCTTGTCATGCTGTGTATGATGTAAGGATTTCAGACGCCCCACATTAATACATTCTGTTAGTTATAATAAGCAGGGATATAAAAAACTTGCTTCATGAGAAAAGATTTCTTTAGGAAAACCAGCATTTAATATCTATTTTGTTTTAATAAATAGGTACTCTGAATAAATTCGTTACCCTTCATGATTATGGGTTTCAGTTCTTAGGATAACTGACTTTTGTAAAGGGTGTAAGTGCAAATCGTTATGCAAAATATGCTGAAGGGAAGGTTAGGAAATACCTAAGGTCTGCGAACGAAAAAAATTATTGTTCTGACTCTTCTTCACAATATCACTCATAGCAGCAAACATTTTGGCTTATATCCTATTCCAGGATGATGACAAACATATCTCTAATGATTACAATTTTCTTTTTAGTGTTACTACGTTGAAAATTGTTAGCTCAGTAAAGTGATTAAATTTACCATACCTTTCTCCCTAATTTCGGTAGGATATAGAGTTTACATGAGATTTTTGTTTTTATAAAATAACTGGGCAATTGTAACACGTTGAGCAATGTATAAACTGACTTTCAATGTATTAAGTATTACTGTATTACAAATATGCAACAATAAGAAGCTGTTTAATTAATTGTCACTGTTGCCAAAATAGAAACTGGAAATTTGATCACCCGCTGTACATTTGTTTAGCTTTATAACTTTTAAAGTCCTATTAAATTTGTAAATCACACAATATGTTCCAAAAAGTATTAATGGAAGATGCGTTTCTCTAAAATCACGCTCCACATGTTTAATTATAGGTTTCTCAGTTTGTCTTGCCGGTTAGAATTGTCAAAACATCTGATTTGAGGAACTAAACTGAGCACCCACACAGAGACTTATCAAATTTCGTTTGTATTGAACAACATTTTGGATACACACAGTAAATTCGGCTTTTCAGTTTGGCTTGTTCATGTTAAATTGGCGAGCCGAATTCAACGATGGTACATTCTTAAGGCTGTTATTAATCACTTTACCATTTTTCTCTTTTAGGTAGTGAGATTCCAGATGTGACTACAGTTTATGAAATAAGAAAAACTATCTTGACTGATAGATATTTCCAAGGTTTTGAACGCATCAATTCTGCTGATAGTGGTTTTCCTCCCATAGGTAAGTAAGATATTCTCAATACAGTATTATATTGAATATTTGCCTCACAACATGTAACATCAAAATAATACAACCTCGATGGCAAGACTTTTGTGGGGATTATTAAATTAAACCTGTTATCAAGGGTTTTATCGAGGTTCCACTGTACAATGTAAAAAATCATACATAACCCTATCATTATTCTTTTTGCTATCGTATCGTGATACTATTAAATAAATATTAGTTACAAATAATTATTGATTTATTTCCTCTTCAATTGTCTCAATTAAATATTAATGACTGTGAAATTGATAAAGCTGCAAATAGATTATTTTTATGAGTAGTCGTGAGGTACAGTAGTAGTATAATTATTTAGCAGACTACTGGTGTCCTCCAAGCTCCAAGTAATGTACTATGTACTCAATAGGTCTTGTAAAGCTATAGTTTATAACTGAGAATTGTCTTATAAAACTGGGTAGTAATTTTGAATATTAGAAGTTTTATGAGGCTGGCGTTATCCTAACATTCCGTCCACCTCTCTGGGACATGTCTACAATATAACATGTATTTAATTAGTGAAATATAACCAAAAGGAGTTAATTTTCAATACGTTAAGAATTTTGTCAGAAACTCATCATGTAAGTTAAAAGTATGATTGTTTGGTTTATAAAAAGCCAATTATTTATATGAGTTACTCTGCTCTATGAATGGTGTGCTTTTGAAAAGGGTTACTATTGAAAAATTTAAGAAACCCCAAACCTTTCTAAATGTTTTGACCATTACAATCACATGTGGAAATAATGTTCTTAACAAATAAATCTTTATTTGTAACAGACTCTTGAAAGAATGAAAAAAGGAGCATAAATAAGTGGGTCTTCCAGAAAGTAAAGAAAGTTTTGTTCTGACGCCGCTAGGTGCACGCCGATCTCGTACATTTTGGTACGTTGCATTCGGCTCAGTCGGTGTCCAGCCGAGACAAAAAGAGCATTCAAGCTCTGCCCGTTTTTCACAATTTCAACTTAAGATGACCGCTATAATTAAAAATCCCACCAGTTATGAGGTGCGGTCAGTAATACAGTTTTTGTTGGCAAACAACTTAATTTTTTTAACTGAATGCACAATTTTTCTCAGAACTTTCATTTATTGTTTCCTTTAACTTCACACAGTTGATGATAAATGTGTATCGGTTTTAAGTTTTAGTCAACAAAAACCGTATCACTGACCACACCTCAAAACTGGTGGGATTTTTAATTGTAGCTCTCATCTTAAGTTGAAATTGTGAAAGCGTGAGGATACTCCAGTCATTTTGCTTCTGCGATTGAATGGATTACCTAAAATTAGGTGTATTACTTTTTTTTATAAAGTTTTATATTTAAATTTGTTCATAAAGTCTTATAATGTTTGCTTTTTTATAGGACATGCATCGCCTGAGACTGAAACATACTGTGTCAATGGTGAGAATTAAAAAAAAACTTATATTGGATTATTTTATTTCCTAGTTATATAGTACGTAATTATGTCTTTTTCATATCAATAATTTTCATAAATTATATGAAAAATACCTACAGAAAATACATACGTCTAATAACACTTGCAATAATATATTTACACTTATACTGTTGACTTACAAGACGGTAAATACATGTAAAAGTTGGTAAGTGGTGATCGATTTCGATTGGACACTCCAATCAACATCAGACCCAATAGGCGAATGAGAACCTATTGAATAGCAACATAAATTATAGCAACCCATTATATCTTCAAATATAAATGGGTAATGAGAACATTTTTTACAAACACCACACCTGTGTAATAGTATATTTTGTACCTAGGGCCGAAAATGAGGTTTTGGTGGCTCGAGATAGTTTTTAAGTTCGAGACGAAGTCGAGAACTTAAATCGATCGAGAGCTGCAAAATCATTTCAGTCCGTGGTACGAATGCTATTTTTCATCATTGTAGTTGCTTACAGAGTGCTTCCTTGAATTACCCCATAGTTTATGAGTTTCACGTCACTGGAAATTCCGTTAATCACCACACTTTGCTTTCTGTCGGATAAATAGCTTTGAAACCACTGATGAGCGGTGCCACGAATGCCAATGTTTTCTAGTTTAACCAATAGCTTTGCTCGATCAACAGAATCAAATGCCTTTTTTAGGTCTAGGAATACTAGCATACTCCGTCTATTGTAGAGTGAGAGATATTATCATTTATGTTTTTACTTACTTCGAATAGAGCGTCAGATATATTTTTTTCTTTTACAAAACCGTACTGTTCTTTGCTTAAAATTTTGTTTGTTTCAAGGTAATTAACAAAAGCTGATCTTTCACAATGCGTTCTAACATTTTTGCAAAAACACTCAGCATAGATATGGGGCGGAAGTTTGACGTCTGAAAAATCGTTGGATTTGTAAAGAGGATATACTTTGGCTGTTTTAAAGAGGGTTGGAAAAGTGCCTGATGTGTAACTTAGATTGATCAAATGAGTCAGTGGTAGAAAAAAATATGTATTTTTTGTTTTAGGAAATCAGAGAAAATAATTTGAGGAATCAGCAAAAATAAAAATAAATAGTTGCTGGGCAATGGTGACAATGAAACAATTCTATTGCAATGCTATGGATACTGATTGTGTAATTAATATGCATTCATGTCTTAAGTAAGTAAGCGGGCAGCTGATTTTGCAGCCCTAGGGATGTAAAACCCTGCTCGGTCCCCAAATAACGATGACAGCTGGCATGGCCAGCAAAACGTAACTTTCAGCCACCAATTAACGTATGTAAAACCGCTAAAAACATCATAGTGTGGTGAAAACAATATTATAGCGGATTTAATAGACTACTATAACAGTCCTATGTATGGTAGTAAATAAAAATAATTAAAAACGTGGGGCGCATACTTTAGCTAATTTATGATTTTTTAAACCAATTGAATTATTATCTATTGCATGTATCAAGTATTTGTTCTACACATATTTATAAATTATTAAATTAATATTAATATTATATATTATTACTAAGTCGAGAACTTAAAACGATCGAGAGCTGCAAAACCATTTTGGTCCGTGGTACGAACGCTATTTTTCACCACACTATACCCTATTACCACTACAATAAAAATGCACACTGATAGTCAACACAACTACAACTTTATGTGGTTACTAGCGGAATACCTGTGCTTCGCTACGGAAACTTTCAAATTGATTGAAATTTTTAATAAATTAGTGTTTAAGTGCCAACAACCTTCAGTCAACAATTCAACTACAACCTGTTTAAAGCAGCTCTTATGTCTCACCCGGTCCATAAAGTGTGTATGATCAGGGTGGTTTCCCATGAACAGACTGCATAAAGGTTCAGGTAGGTGCTGCAAAGTTAGTGGTTGCACTTTACCACCATTGCAGCACATGCCCGGGGTTTCTTCTTTCCATTTTAAGGCATCGCAGTACTTAAATTTGAACGTCATGGTATCTATCCCCACCGAGCTATCTCCTTCATAGTCTATTTTCAGATTAGATGTCATTGCTAGATTTTTCACCATCCGAATCTTTGGTGAATATCTTTCAGGATGAGTTTGTTCATACTTTTTGCTTGCGTTCTTCACCTGCTTTTTACTTTGTTTATCCGTCCGTGCACCTGCTACGCCGTTTACACCTTGATGTATTTTGTTGCTGACAATTAATTGGGAGAAAAGGGCAGTTTTCGTGGCTCTAAAACGTCGAAGTGCCTGCTAGACAGGGATTGCGTAAATCTGTAAAAATTGTGAATTTTAAATTAACAATTTTTTTAATTTTCTCCGTAACCAATCACCGTACAAAAACACTTAGATATACTAAATTATTTGTTTTATTAAGCTCTTTAAAAAGGTCTGGAGAAAATTTTTATATTTTGTGTTTTAAGAGTAAAAAATGGGAAAACCCCCATTTTTACCCCATAAAACCCCCCATTAAATCCCGTTCACATGGTCCGATCATGCTGGTTTGCGAACTCATTCAAGTTTATTCCGCCTTACACCTTCAAACCAAATTTTATCAAAATCGGACAAAAATTACTCAAGTTATCGTCTGCATGGACACACACATACACACGCACACACACACGCACACACACCCACCTATATAAATTTAAACGAATTGTGTTTTTGGCCTCTGGGGACATCAAAAAGAAAAAGTAAATCGGTCCCGGACCTAGGTCTTACCGTGCCACCTACGGTAATTGCTACTTCCTTATAAGGGGGAAAAACATAATCATAAACAATCCTATTTTGACAGTTTGCATTGCGTAGTGTATCACAGCTTTTTGTTGCTGCTTAGTTCAAATTAGCTGCTGTCATAATTGCAAACACACACACATTAATATTGCCACACCGTGTTGGTAAACATTTTAACTTTTTAATGCGATTGAATATCATCTTAGACATTCCATCCCAATGTTAAATTTGTAGCTAGTTTTTTTAACCAAAATTGTCATAGTTGGTGTGAGCCACCAACGGATTGTGCTGAACTAAAATTACTGATTTTTGTCGAATATACGAGTACAATCGTTTTTACCAATTCAAACTAATTGAATGATTTATTATCACTAGCGCATTCTATGACTGGCTCAGACAACTATGTTCTTTTTTTCAACAAACAATTGGCTATAGCTGGTCCATATAGATGGGATGTCTACTTCAGTATCCAATAGTCAACTACTGAGCCACTGGGGTGGAGCCCGAAATGATTATTGCGATAAGAATACACCTATATGCTAATCGGGAATGTGAGCTAGCATCAGGCCAAATTTCAGATTAATCTGACCAGTAGTTAGTGCGTGATTTAACTTCAAACAATCAAACAAACACACAAACTTTCACATTTATTGTTGAGCGGAGCGAGCGAAGCTCTTATACGTCGACTCTTATGCATTTCGTAATACCCAAACTCCTCCTAGACGGCTGAAGCAATCGTTTTCAAATTTTGGATGGTGCTAAAGACCATATCGGTGAGTGCTAACATCTATATGACGTTTATAAAATCTCTCAGGAATCCGCCCCACGGGATCTCAAAGTTTCAATGTAATCCTTATGAAGCAGTAGTTGACACATAAACAAAGACATAAGATCAGCTGGTGACTTTTGAATTCAGTACATCAAGAAATAGCTGATACCGTAGCGTTATTCCACGGATATTAGAACAGAAATGGTATAGATCTGAAATATAATCAAAATGACGACACTAGCCTGAATCTTATACTTAATATGCCTTAACATCTTGTTTGGACGTTTATTGACAGTTCCATTTTGAATAACAAAACAACCATGTTGTCAACTAAATTAACAGTTGAATTTGTGTTTGAAATGTTCTAGGCTTACTGGGGACAAGCTTATGTAATCTCAATAGTAGCCTGTATATTAGCGATGAATTGGTTTAATGGTTTGTGAAATAGTATATGAATCTTGTGAGCTTTTTAAGAATATAACTACGTGTTTGAATGCAAACAAAGTTGACGTGTTTACATGGTAATACAGATTTTTAAATAATATAGTATGTTAGTGGATTTTTTAAAAGTTATTGACTTTCTTTAGAAAAACTGAATTTTTAATATTAGCTTTCATAAAATAAAGTGATGAATTTGTTCGAATGAAAACCATACACGTTTGTAGTATTCTTTATACTGTATATTATCAGCTGTTGTCATTAATTACAAAACAATGTTTACCTTTTTCAATTTGCAGTTGTAAATATTACTTTTCAATAAAAGAGTTTATTCAAATGCGTGCTTATTATGAACTCTAATTCAAAGTCACAACAATTGGCGACGAGAAAAAGTTTTTCAACATTTCTACTCATTATTTGGATTTAAAACCTTTTCTAAATTTCGATTTTGTACATTATGGATGCAGAACAATTTACAGCACTACTGAAAGCATTCACTGAGAGCCAAGTCACACTTGCAGCTACACTTGCAACGAAGATTACAGAAAAACTTCAACTTCAACCTCCAGTACAGCAGAGTAATACGTTAGTAAGTATTCAACCATTTGAAAATTTCGATCAGAAAAAGGAAAAATTTAAAAACTATTTGGAACGCTTTGAAAATTATCTTGCTGTCAAAAACATCTCAGATGAAAGGAAAAAAGCACAACTTCTTTGCGCTTCAATTGGCTCTGTTCACTACAATAATCTTTCATCATTAATTGGACCTGAAAAACCTATCAAAGACCTAGATTTTGCTACTTTGGTCAAATCACTACGTGACATGCTTTCACCACACAGAAACGTTGTAGTTTCACAACATTACTTTTTAAACACTTATCAAAAAGCAAATCAATCAATTCCTGAATACATAGCTTCACTACAAAAAGACCTTTCTGAATGTGAATTTACAGTCCAGTGTGAATGTTCAAAACAAGTTTCAGTCTCAGATACATTTTTAAGAGCTCAATTCATAAGAGGCTTAAAAGATGACTGGATTTGAGAACA